TGGAAGATCTCCAGAGAAGGAGACTCCACAGCCTCCCTGGGCAGCCTGTGCCAGGGCTCTGTCACCCCCACAATCAAGAATTTTCTCCTCAAACTCAAGAACTGTCTGTGCTAAATTTGTGGCTACTGTCCTTTTTCCTTTCACTGGGCACCACTGGAAATCATCTAGTCCCAACCTCTTGACACCTTTCTTTAAGATACCTGTATACATTGATAAGTCCCGTATCTTCTTCTCCAGAGACGCTCCAGTCCCCCAGTCATCTCCACAGCCTTAAACTGGACTCCCTCCCATAGCCCCATGTCCCTCTTGCACCAAGAACCGGACCCAGCGCTAGCGCTGTGGCCTCCCCGTGGCTCAGCAGAGCAGGGATCAGCTCCCTGGAGCTGCTGCTACACCCTTCCCTCAGCAAAGCATCCCGGGACACCACGGGCCTTCCGGAGCACTAGGACACACCGCGGGTTCCTGCACAGCTTGGGCCTTCTGGAGCACTAGGATACACCGCGGGCTCCTGCACAATCTGGGCCTTCGGGAGCGCCCGGACACACCGCGGGCTCCTGCGCAGCCTGTCGGCCACCGCGACTCCCGGCTCCTTCTCCGCGGGGCTGCTCTCCAGCAGGTCACCCCCAGYCCGCACTGRGGCAGGGCGTTATTCCCCCCAGGCTCCTTTCTGAAGCCCCCTGCAATTCTTGTCGCAAGCTTGACTCACTTTACCTTAGGTGTTCAAAGAGCTGGAATGAATTCGCACATTGCCTTAATCACTCCTGAGACTTTTAGGAGTCTGACTCATGATTTCTAATGCCTGCAGTTGGCAGTGCTGCACATACATTACACGTGTCATATCRTCCATCTGTCAGCAAGCAAAATCTTTATGAAAAGTCTAATTAGTTGCTACTCGCATTGCTTTAAATAAATGTGTTTTTAAAGGCACAGCTCACTGCTGCCAGAGAAGTTATATCACTGCACTAGTCACTCACAGCAAAGAAAGAAATAAATTGCTCATTAAGCTTATTAAAAACAATTAGAGAAACCTGCCTCCTACCCAGCTGTGCACTGGAAACCCAAACACAACTGAACTACTTACATTTCCTAAGTCAACAGCCTACAAAGCGGAAGGCTGCAAGCAGCAAAGACTCTTAATTAAGTACCAACTATGAAAGTATTTTGTCCCACTGTGATTAAGGGGTCCCTGAGGTAGTGCCTCCATCAGAAGAGTCTCCGGTAGCCTCCTGAGGGAGGCTCTTCACCATCAGCGACACATGAGATTTGTCGTAGGATTTATTTCTAAAAAACTGCTCTAAAAAGAAAGGCAGAGTTAATAAAATGGGATTGTATCATTTCATAAATTCAGTTTGAGGCTAAAAAATATTTATGCTGAAAGCCAATCATTTTTTTTTACTTGTATTTAACACAAATGTTAGTGACTAGGGCTCCCAGTGAATGAGAAACACCCAATACTTTTCAAGAAATGCATTTGCACCTTGTTAATCTGAGTCAAAAATGATTCTCCCTGCCCTAGTCCACGGCTCTTAAACTTTGCTTTCATGATTTTCCAGATTAATTCAGAGAAATTACAAGAAGAGTAAGGAGGCTTAATAAGACACCTTTATTTTAAGGAGCTTGAAGATTAATAATTTAATATAATTACTAATAACATCTTATCAAGACTAGCAAAATATTAATAAATTGAACCACGGCTCAAAATTTGCAGATAGCACAGATCGCATGCTGCTGACACGATGGAAAATCCTGCTGCTCATTTTGTGCGGAACTGAGCACATTTATCGGTACACTTCTTAGCATATAAATATTAAACAGTCTCCTGGCATCACACAGAAACATCCACACGAACATATTGCATGATTCAACACTTTTAATACCTTGGTAGCCTTCCCCAGCAGATCCAATAGATTGTACTAAAAGAAGTAAAAGCACCAAAACCTCTAGTCATTTCCAGCAGCAGAACGGGAGATAAATCACTCCTTTCTTTAGGACACAACTCCCGCTGCTAATACAAACTTTTAAAGGTATCAGTCTGTGTCTCCCAACTTCGTTTCCTTTACAAAGATGTCATGCCCTTTACGTGTGACGCGGCTGACAGTTCTCAGCCAAGATGCAGGAAGGGCAACAGGAATGTTTTTTCCAGCCAAAAATGTACAAAAGTTTCAGAATATTTCAGAATATTTCAGAATATTT